GGCTGGTTAGTGGTGGAAAATGCTAGCAAATTGTCTTTTTTCTATAGGGATCCAGAGCGTCCGTTTGACACCGAACGTCCGAGGAATTGGGGCTCGTTTGGAGCAGAACTCAATGGGTTAAAGCCGTGGCGAAGGGGTGGTTTCAGATGCTTTTTGGGAGGCTGGTTAGTGGTGGAAAATGCTAGCAAATTGTCTTTTTTCTATTTTTTCTATAGGGATCCAGAGCGTCCGTTTGACACCGAACGTCCGAGGAATTGGGGCTCGTTTGGAGCTGAACTCAATGGGTTAAAGCCGTGGCGAAGGGGTGGTTTCAGATGCTTTTTGGGAGGCTGGTTAGTGGTGGAAGATGCTAGCAAATTGTCTTTTTTCTATAGGAATCCAGAGCGTCCGTTTGACACCGAACGTCTGAGGAATTGGGGCTCGTTTGGAGCTGAACTCAATGGGTTAAAGCCGTGGCGAAGGGGTGGTTTCAGATGCTTTTTGGGAGGCTGGTTAGTGGTGGAAAATGCTAGCAAACAATCCAGAGAGCAGGCAATGAAACGCTCCGCACGGGCACGGACCTCGACACCGGAAAGAAACGACGATTCCAGAAGAGCAACCTTTAAAAGGACGACTGAAACCCCTGTTCGAAAAACCCTCGCAATGCCAACCAGTGGAGGAAAAGCCGGACCTGAGAATCCGGGGTCGGCGGCAGGGGCGGCAGCCCTTAATATTTACCCGGTCGCATTCCGATCGACCAATACAAGAGGTCGGTTGACCTGGCTTTGTCGTCTCAGATTCTTCAATCAACACATACACATTATTCAAAACATAACGGTCGTTGTTGAAATCCCAGGGTATAAAGAGATAGAGATGCATGGGTTGGGCGAAACCTAGCTCGCAAATGATATGAAAAACCAACAATTCCACGTCTGATGTCAGTTTCCTTGGAAAAGAAAGGGTTCAGCAACTTTCCAGCTGCTCGTTTCCCCAATCCCGCAAAAGCCACCGCCGCCCCTCGTTGCCTGGCTCGTGAAGGGTGCGCCACAGCCGGCCTGGTGTTTGTTCAATCAGAAAACTTGGTTCAGGACATGCTGTTGGCCTCTTCTTAAAGATCTCTGTTAATCAAACACAAATCGCTTAGAATCGATTCAGTGCATAAAAACAAATACAACGATTTCACTTTTAGGGTCTCTCCTTTGAAGGTCCAGCAGGATTCCTCGAAGTCTTGCTTTTATTCTAGAAATTCGGGGCCAGGCCAGGCGGCCAGTCTTCTGCAACCTTTAGGGTCAAAGTCAAAGTTGAAGTTGTTAAAATTGGGCCCGGATAGAGATGGCCCACGGAAATCTTCCACACCATGACACGGCGTGTCCCATGCCATCCATGTCCCATGCTCATTACATGTCAATGTATCCCTCATGGACGGCCCCATGAGTGGACGTGGATTCTCCTTCCTGTAAAACACATCTCATCCGACGTCCCGCAAAGCACCCCATGATGTCAGCTGTGTCAAACCCAACAAAAAACGAACCGCAAATGACCGTAGGCGTCTAGCCTCAGTCCCAAAACCGGTGGTTTGCATGAAAACCCAGCTGTCCAAGCTGGTCATGCATAGGCTCTAGCCATTTGGCATAGGCTCTAGTGCTTGGACGTCCTGATCTTCCGATCCCCGTGTCGAACCATGGAACAGTGTGACCATTATTAAGAATATAGCGTCGGACAGGCATTCTAAAAAAGAAATGCCCTGCAGGCATTCTAACTCATCTCTATGTAGGGAGTAGAATTCACATAGTTTGGCATTCTATCTTTCAGTCCGACGCTATATACTGGACTTCAAATGAACATAATGAATCTATGAAACATGCTCGCAGCATCTCGCAGCTGCTCTAGATGTCCACCAATATCTTTCCCTGTTGATAACTCTTCCAGGTGTTTCAGTTGTTCATCACTTGTCGGTGTTCGAAACCATTCACCGAAATCAAACGGATTCCCCAACCCACCAGCATCCATTCCAAGGGCCCGACCTGACTGCCGCCCCCACGCGGGCTGGCGAGCGCGACCGCCTGGTCCGTGCCGTTTCGTGCCGTTTCGGACCCCGGTGCCGAACGCGGAGGGCCCCGCCATCGCTTCAGACGGGCCCGGTCCGAGTTTCGCCACCGGCGTTTCGGTGTCTTCGGAGAGGTGTTTGGTTGGGTGGACCGGTGTCAGGTCCAGGTCCACCAAGCCACCGTTGGATGGCAGCGGGACTTTGGTCACTTCGCGCTCTAAAAGCGAAAGGGCGGGAGTCGAGGCCAAAACCTGGTCCAAAACCGCTGCGGACGTTGAAGGTCCCAGTCACTGCGTAGCCTTAAAAACGATCAACATGCTATGATGTGAGTGTTTGATTTCTCCATCCAACAAATTGCGAGCAGGAACACCGTGCAGCTCCATGTTTCATCAACACTTCCAGATCTGTACCCCACCAACCCAAGACTTCATCACCAAGAGCCATGGGTTCAACTCCAATTTTGGATGGCCCTATCTGGGACGAATGCGCGCGGCCCAGTGGATCCAGTTTTCGATTGCCGGATTTAGACTTAAAGAGATGTACCTTTCTTGGAGAGCCCTTTTCAAATCAGTGGAACTACCAACCACGCTCTCGTTCTTGTTTGTGCATAGCTATGCTGACAACCTCAGTTTCCCTTGGAAATAAAGGCCGGCCCTGTTTCCACCAGTGGGGATTCCCCCCAGCCACAAAAAGTTTCAAGGTTATCCACTTTTCCTGGGCAAGCATGGGAACCACTCATCTTTGCAAAGCAAACCTATTGGTTGGGGCGGCCACCCCTGACTGAAAGGCCCACTGCTTTGAACGAATGAACTTCGAAGAACAAGGCTCTGCCGCAGTGAAATGATGGGGGCGCACCCGCGCCAAGTTACCCCATCCGTGTCTGTCAGAAGAGGCAGTTAAAAATATAAGGCCCTTTCTTCGCCCCACAAAGCTCATTCACGCACCTGGCTGGCCAGCGGGAAATCGCCACTGGCCTCAGCAATCGAGCAGCTTGGGGCAAAGAACAGCACAGTTATGCAAACCGCGTGCAACTTAGCTGCGCAACTGCGTCCATGGGCAGCTCTGGGTTCGTCAGTCTCCGGCACGGCACAGTGCAATCGGTCTTTCTCATGAACCTGCAAGTCCAGTCATGCCCGTAAAAAGCTGCAAAATACCCCATGAATATTTGCTTCGGCTGCGGTTTTCCATTTCATAAATCATAGGAACAGGATGAACTCACTATGAACTGCGACACCAACCTGTTTATAACATGATAGTATCTTAGGCGCATATGTTTGTGTAAGATGTCTTCAACGTAGCTGTTTTAAAATAATTGAAGGGACCAGGTTCAGCGTCCGGACACTCTTGTTGCTATGCGAGATTCTTCAAATGTGTGTGTGTTTTTTTTTTTTTTTTCAGGGCTTTACTGTGGAATTGGAAGGCTCGACAACTTATTTTTGGTGGTATTGTCAGCATCCAAACTGAGTGACATGAGTACCTCCATGAATGCTTTCGGGTCTGTTCGGGCCAATTCTGGAGGAGCAAGCCTTTCATCAAACCTGTTCCAAGCACCTTTCGGGACCTCGCCATCACCTTCCCCACTCGATCCTGCAGGACCCTGCCTCATCATTCACCTGATTCTGGGCCGGGTCTTTAGCTGGTACAAGGCCTTGAGATTCTCATCCTTCCTGCAACTCCGACAAGCGGCACGGGTCCATGTTGCAGCAAGTTTATAGTCCTGCATGACGGGTCCATGTGCGTGTGTGAATCATTGGCCTGACCAGACCACCATGGCACCGCCCCGTGGAGTTGCAAAAAGCACTGCCATGAACCAGCACGAGGCCACAACATCTGGGTGTTCGTTAATAGGGAGACCCCACACCACTTGTTTTTGGTCTATTTCCCTTCTTTCAGGTGGTCTTTTGGAAGGTCTCCCTCTTTGAATACATCCGTCTCCTGAGTCTCACGACACACGCAGTCTCCGTTTTTGGCCCCGCGCTGGAAAGGTGCCCATGGCCTGACGAGATCGGCCACCAGAGCTGCCATGCACAAGTTCTAGGGATCCACAGACCCTGTTCGACACTGCTACCTAAGGTGTGCCCGGAGGGACCCCCTAGAGAAAGAACACCAAGCATCCATGAACGACGTTGGAGCGGCTGTACCAGATGCTCTTCGCTTTGAAAAGCCATTGATCGGGTGCGCTTGGCGCACCATCTCCGTTGTTGATGGACCATAGGACGCTCGAGCGCTCGAGGCTGGACCTCCGAAACCGACGACACCCAAAGACTGACCAAGGTGGGATCCCGATCCTTCAGGCGAGGATTGTCATGGAGTTGCACCAGCACTTTCGCACATTGCATGTCTCCTGAAGTCGGCTGAAATTGGTGTCTCCATCAACTGTGGCACATACCAAAAAAGTGAACAATTGTTTTTAGTATAAAGGCGATGACGCACGCGCACACACACACACACATAGTGGATGCCTGACTGACTGGCGGGACTGGGGTTAACTGACTGGGTGTGACTTGCCAATGGATCGTCGGATCTAAAGGCCGAATCTAGCGTATTTACTGCAGCATGTTTGTCATCCAATGATTCCATGTGTTGTATTCCTCAAGGCGACCAGCGATGTGTACCTCTTCCCGCCTTCTTACATTGATACCAAATATACCAACGATGTAAAACCCATGTACGCCATGTAGATCTAACAAGTAACATGGCAGCATGACATACCAAGTAGAATCTCAAGACCTCTAAAATGAAATGGAATAGATCCACAGGAATCTTCCATAGATCTTGGTATGTCTGATGATCTCAAAACCCGATCTGATCTTCCAAGCTGAACAACAGGAATTCAGAGCCACATCGATCCATCCACAGGCGTCCACACCTTCTTCTGACTCATGGCGACGCTCGGCCGGACACCACTGCACCAGGTGGGGTGAACCCCACCGCAGCCGTCACCGAACCGCGCTCATCCGGGTGGAAGTGGTCAAACAGATTCGCATGAGTTGGGACCATCAAATCCGAACACCAAGCTTTGGATGAGTGAACTCCACGATGCACATGCGAGTGTGCGTGATCGACCTGTCTGACTGCACATGAGAGGCGATGAGCTCTCCGCCGCATCTGCCGCCCCGCCTTCTGTTCGACCTCAGAACAGGGCGAACATGTAACTACCCAATTGACCGGGAAGTCTACATTACACAGTCAAAGCCCGTGTCTTGGTGATATTAGAACCCAAACATACCCAAACCATCCATCTGACTGGCATATATATATACATATTATATGGTATGAGGCGTCAAGGTAAATATTTCATACATGGATGGTCTGGGGAAGGGAATTCACCTGCTTTGCTTGCTCTCAAGTCTTTAGAACTACCTTCCCCAAAACTCACATGGACACCTAGATCACCCTTGGATACCCTTGGTATACGGGAACATGGCTTCTCATCCCCTGCTGGCCATGCAATGTTGCTATATGGTTTGTGGGTTCAAAGTAAATGCCTGGTAGGCAGGTCGTCTATTCCGTTCAGTCTGTTCAGGTGGGGGCCACACCTGTTTTCCCGGTGACCCATGTTGAAACACAAACTCACATGGAGGAGCGGGCTTGGAGCGGAAGCAGCGGTGTGGACGATTGTCCTCAACCCCACGTGGTGTTCAGGTTCCATGTGGGTCTCGGTGGCCCAGGGTGTACCTTAGTGCACAGCCTGGTGCTCGTCGGAGTTGGGTCGCGGCGCTCGTCTTTCGCTCGCCGAGGTCGGTCCGGTCGGTGTTCCTCCGGACTTGGGGTGTCCATTTAGGGCGCCCCGAATTCGCTCTGATTCGGGGTGTCCAACCACCCCGACTCGGGCTGCTGGTAATATACCCAAACACTCCAGGCTATGGCATTTCTATGCTTACACCCGATAAAATTAACATGGAACCTGAACATGGACCTTTGGAAGACTACTTTCCTCTACAAACCAGTGGTTTTCAGGTTCCATGTTAATCTTCCAGAGTGTACATTGACCCTGAAACCACCCCAAGGTATGCAAAGACGCCAGTCCGCAGTGTCTGGGATATCGAGCTGTCCGTCACGCCAGCGACACCCGGGCGGCGAGAGTAGGGGTTTCCAACCACCGCGGTTCATGCTGGCTGGTTCGCGGAAGCAGGCGACCCTGGACCCTGAATGCGCATCAGGTTCTACGTGTTCGTTCGCTCCATGTCGTAGTTGCAAGGGTCATTTCACCAACCGCGAACGGATTGGGTCCTGCCACTGAGCCGAGGGTCGCTCAGTGGGACTCCCGGGCTCGGACCCTCGAAACGACACCCACCCAAATACTCCATGTACTCGGACCTTCCAACAGATGGTTTGTGGACACCCCTTCATTAACCCACCTCTAAAAGACGATTTAGAGACACCTCTTGGAGATTCTTGGAGGGTGCTGGTATGGAATACACATGAATACACACCATGGATCTTCCAACTATACCAAGCTTCTGCCTAACTTGGCTGTGATGCAAAGGCAAAAATGGGTCACAACCCTGAACATCTAAGAGGCGATCTAGAGACTTTTTGGAGGGTCCTGGTATACTATACATTGAAATCAACCACCCAACTGGCCGTTTCTCGGCCGTCCTATGCCAGTCCCAAACAGATCATCTCTGGGATAGTTTGATTTTTTCTGGCTCTGAGGCTTTGGGGGGGTGTTCATTCATCCATGGGTTGGATGAAAAAAGAAACAGCCCAAGTAAAGGTTGAACAAACAGATCGCAAACACCACCCTCCGCCACCAGTGACAAGTCAGTGACAAGTCCTCGTCCTTGTTTGGGGCGCTTTTCGGTCCCTCTGGGGCCCCCAACGTGCACCACACCCTCACGCTGCTCGTAAATGGGCACAGCGATCTCCAGTGGCAAATCTTCACCCACCTGGCGACCGCAGCGGTTTTGGGGTCGAAGAATCCCCGGCGGCTCCTGGCGGCTCCACCGAACCGTCTGACTCACCGTGGGTGGTCGTCAGACGGGGTCGAAGACCGGTCACCCGGTCGACCGCCTTGTGGGACCGTCGGTTTCTTATAACGCGAGGGTCCCGCCATGTGGGACAAGCAGGTCGGCCATAAGGGGTGGTTGATTGAAAAGGGGTCGGCATATCAATCATACCAGTCCCAAATGGTACCATTCCCTCAAAAAAATAGAAGTACCCCGTGGGGTGAGACCCCCCCAATGGTTTAGGGACTTTCATTCATCCACGGGTTGGTTGGTGGATCTTGGTTGATTGGTGAAACCCCACTGCCCAACAAAACTTGGTAAAGCTGTTCCTTCACCTCCCGCGACCCTGAACCCTCTTACGCCTCTTATGGACTGGTCGGACGCGAATCAGGCACCAGTCGGGCTGTTTTCACGGAGCGTTTGGGTTGTTCCTTTTCGAGTGCAAGACTTGTTGTTCCTCCAAAGGACCGTGTGCAGAAAGAGAAACCCACAGCCCAAAGGGCTTCGCCATGGCGCCGGCTCCGAACTGGACCCTCGCCGCACCTCGCGGTCTCCGGGGGGAGCTTCGGACCCGAGCGAAGCAACGAACGGCTGACGGATGGACCGGCTAGGTGGTCAGGCCCAAGCGTCCAGGTCCAACGGGTCGTCCGCTGAACTCTTCGGAAGAACTGCCGGTGACTCCGCCGGTGACTCGTCCGCCTGACGCTTGCTGACTCCGGACATGCCGCTGCAGTCTCCAAAGTACCGTAGGATATGAGACACGAGCCCATATGCAGTATGGCAAATTCATACATCTACTCATTGATACTCATATCCCTTTTCCGTGGTTACATGATGTTACTGTACATGAAGGGTCCAGGTTTTGGTTTGGCCTGGCCATCCTCGAAAGCAACATCAATCGCCTGACATCGGAGATCCTCCCGCCTCTTCCACCGAGGCGTATTCCCTGGGCGCCTGCTCAGGCGGTTGACCGGACGGGTGGCACACTCAACAACCGGTGAGGTTTGGTCGTCCCCGTCGCGGGAAACCACCGTTCTGAGAACGACCGACACCCGAGCCAGTTTCAATCGAACATACAGGTCCCGAAACACTCCATAATATATATATATAATATATATATACCCTAGAAGTCCAAAGACTATATTTTGGCTGGCTGGAGTAAAGGAAGTTCCATTTCAATTCCCCTAAAGACCATTCTTTTAATAGTCTTTGACTCCCAGGGTATATATATTATAGTCCCTATACAAGGAGGAGACAGTCCCATGTATATGCCAGTCCAATGTATATTATACCTGGAAAGGCATATGAAAAGTTTTTTGTGCGAAGGCCGTATTTGGACAGAATTTATCGTATGGACATTTTTATTTACGAATTAGCGTATTTAATCCGTATATGGACAGAAAAACAATACCGTACAAAAGCGTACCCATATGAAACCCAAACTTTATCAACATGTTATCAACAAAAACCCAAACAATTATATTGATAAAACCCAATCAAACCCAATATTCGGAGGAATTCCAGACAATTTGTCCATTTGACAAAAAAGGTCGGATGCACGGATTTTTTGTGCGAACGTGTTTGAACAAAAACCAATGCACATTTGGATTCCCTGGTATGTATAATGCCAGTCCCGAGCGTGTCAGGGAGCTAGCTGAACCTTCCACCTTTTCGTTGACCTGGAATCTTCGGTGACCTGGTACCATGTTTCATCACTTTTCACTCCCTCCTGGGGTTGGTACCCACGCGACACGACCCACGTTGAATCCTGAAGGTACGGTCAGACTCCCGGTGTTCCACGGGGGTTTCCTCACCAATCTGGATCGCTTTTAGACCTCCAGAGGTACGTAGAGCTTTACCAACCAGCACCCTTGAAAGCGATCTGGATCGCTGGATTGGTGAGAAAGATGGTGCTTCCGAGAGCTTTCCAGCTTCACCAATCTGAATCGCTTTCTGGATCTCTAGTCCAGAAGTCCAGCACGAAGCATGAGGCTTCGAGGAACCTGTTGTAGCTGGTCAGGGGAGCAGAATCCCGATGTTTACCCTGAAAGCACGCCAACGGAACCAGGGTGAGCTACCACAGGCCTTTCACACCACCTAGGCGTGCCGTTCCTATTCGGGCCCTGCGCACGTGAGACGAATGATCCGGGGGTTGACGGATGGTTGGTGGTCAAATTGTGCCATGTTGACGGATGGTTGGTGACTCGCCACCAAAAGCACAATCAACATATATGTACTTGCACGTATGGTGTAGGCTTGGTAGTTTGTAGTGGTGAATGTAGGCCATACTGGCGCCACCATGGAGCTTTGGGGCTCTCTATGATACATGTCTGAGACTATGACGTCTTAGCCGCAGTCTTGGCCATAGCTCTCTTTTTTCTGGTAACCATTCATCCCAAGGCTGTTTTGACTTCGAGGGTGACCTAGCCAAACTGGACCACAAGTTTTGGACCCCAAAGCAGTAACTGGACCATCAAAAACCTGGCTTTCACGCCTAGCAACGGACGCACGGAGCCTTTATTGTTCATGGTTTCGAGGGCCCCAAACCAGTAACTGGGACCCTGTGATGGGACTCCAGGCCGCTCAAGGCGGGTTCTTCCGGCTTGCAGGGTGGTGGGGTTCTCCCCACTTCCGGATCTGAACAGGGAGCTAATGCAAGTTCAATTTGCACTCTAATGAAGCCGCACACACACATGTCCATCACTCAACCCAGACACTCCATGTATGGTATATTTACCTACATTGGGGTGGTTTGAGGGGTCAATGTAGGCATATATGACAGACATGGAGTGTCTGGGCAATGTCAGGGTGCCAATGAGATGGTCGTGATGTCCACCAGCGGATGGTCGCGATTCTGTACATAAGCAGGACATCCACCTCACCGAAATCCACTTCGAAGTCATGTTCGACCATCCGTGGATATCCTGTTTGACCATCCACCCATGTCTTCTCGCCTGTCTTCTCTCTGGAGGCATCTGGACGTATTCCTTAGCTCCAGTGTGAGCCGAGCAAGTTAAACAGGTCACCTACACCCTGGGCCACCGAGACCCACATGGAACCTGAGTTCACCACGTGGAGGTTGTAGAGGATTTTCCTCGTCTTCCTTTCAAGTCCATGCCAGTCGCCCGGTGGAACCTGTGGGTCTCCATTTCAGCCCATTTCGGAGACCTGGCAGTCAGTGAGGCGAAATTGCTTAAGCACGTCTGTGATCCTTTTGAGCGTTGTGATCACCCTTGTTGAAGCTTGCTTCATTTCGCAGACTCGCTAGGTTTGTAAAGCGGACGACTGGCCCCAGAAGGACAAGTCTACCGTAATGCCAAGACGAGTGGTCGGGAACCACGTCGAAACCCGTCGGAAAACACCCATCACCAATGGCGGGTGACCGGACGGCGAGGGAATTTGTTTTAGGGCTGGTAGGTGTTCGGGCTGGCGAGATTCTGGGTGTTTCTAGGGATTCTATGCTGGCAGGTGCTAATTGCTAAGTGATCAAGGCAGGTGCAAGTATATCAAGCACTGGGCAATTCGTTCAACAGCTGGCTGATTCAGTCTGCCCACTGCGTTAGAACGACTGGGGCGTTAATTCGAATCGCTAAACATCTTAAACTGCACTGCACTGCCCGAAGGCTTGAAGAATGCTCGAAGGTTTGATATGTTGCCACTTGACATACAACAAAACCCTTTGGTCACCACGTGGTAGACAAACAACAACAAACCGTGAAACACCAAAACAACAAAAAACACCAAAAACTAGACAAACATATTTTGGAAAGGAATTCTGCTTCCTGAGTTTAGCTGCCCATATTACATCCCTTTTAACATTTTCGGTGTTCGACCTCTTTTTCTGTGCAGACAGGTGATCTGGAGATGGCCCTCACCAGTTGGGTGTGTATGTTCATAGGGAGACACCGGAGACACCCATCAATGTTGGTCGATTTTCCCTACCCTATTTCTCCAAGTACCATCAAGTACCTCCTCAAATGGTATTATAGGACCCTCTAAACCCAACACAAACACCTTCGACACGAAGGTACTTGGAACCCTAGGGCTATCAACCATGTCTTGAGCTACACCACCCAGTTCGTCTTTCTGCTGGTTCTTCGACGCTCCGCGAGTTCAGAACCCGACTGGTCCCTCAAAAGCGAATTGGAGAACCCACACGCCTCCAGAGGATTTGGTTCCAACCCCCCCCGAGTCATACACATGCCAACCCCTCTTGGTACCACCCTCTATGCACACATGCCAGCCCCCAGGCAGGCCGTGTCTGGGTCAGAATCCGGCCCCTTTCCGAGTGCCCCCCGCGTCACCCGCGTCACCCACCGCCCCACCCGCGCAGGCGACGAGGGGCGTGGAGTTCACGGCCCTGCAGCGACTCCATCTGCGGTACCCTGGGAAGGTCGATGGAAGCCACACGGTGGTGACACCGGTCCGCTAAGAGAGACTGACCAGCACATGAGGACGAGGACGAACACTCCGCTGTGGCCTGGGATTTGGGGCCCCAATGGCACCCGGAGGGTTGCGAGGGTCGAAACCTGTTCCAAAAGCCTCCTTGGTGGCGAGTCGCGAGGGTCCAACGAACGTTTGGGTGAACAGCCAGGATGCTTGACATGTCCACCTCTTCATGCTTGGGATTTTTTTGGTGGGAATGTTCTGCACCAAAGCTCCGTGACCTGGGGGGCTTCTGTAGAATCCACGGGACTTCTGGATGTATGGGGTGATCCTGGAATCTGCAACCTGGAGGCCAGCTCTCCTCAGTCGTATCTATCTCAGGTGACTCATGTGTAATCTTCTGCTTTAAGTCTTTCCCTCTTCTTACAACCTTTTCTTGCTGAGCCATTCCATTCAAAACCTGTGAAGATGTAGCTTGGACATTGGGCGTCTGAACATCTATCAATTCACCTCCAAACTCCTTGCATTTATATAGAGGTTTTTTAGGAGCGACAGTTGGGCTGTGGGGTAGCAGTGCAATAATCATCCGCAGGAAGCTTCCCAGTGACAGCTCGGGTTTGCACCTTGCAGTTGCAGGATTCTGAACAATCTTGTCAACAGATCTCACGACTTTTGGCAGTACTCCTCGGCCAATCCAAGTCATAGTGGCTCCATGTGGCTCCCAGTGTGTTGCGGCTCTCTTCTTTTGAGACATGCGTTTTCCATAAGTAGACTCAGACACGCATTGCGCGCGTAGAGTTTAAAGGCCAAAAGCACCGGCATGCCAAGGACATTCCTGTGGGAATAGCTGCAAAACAGTCCTGGAAGACGAGGCGCCTATCCGGGCCTCTCCGGTTCTTCCATTTTCCGGGGAGTATCTGCTTCTTTGGAAATGGTCCACATCTTGTGATGGACTTCTGAGCTTTTCTCTCTCACGTCTGACTGGCCATCGTGAGAACGGCCAACTGGCCATCGCGGGTGTCATCCCAAGGAGAGGCCACCCGCTGATCGGCGCCTGCCGCGCCTTCGGGCGGCCATCGCGGATCGGGGTCCATGGAAGGTTGACCCTGGAATTGACCAAGCAAAGTGGGTCTGTGAACAGAAACTCTCCAAGCCGCTTGTTGGAAGGTCGTGCCAGAGGCCCCACATGGCTCATCCAAAACCGAATTTGCCCTAGCAAAAAACATGGCTTTTGTATGCGAAAACATTTGTTTTTCCATGGTTTTGACGGCCCCTGGAGTGTCTGGGAACCGAATCATTGGACGAGAACACAGGGCGTTGAGAACACAGGAGCGGATGCCGAACTGCAGGTCGAACGAGCCAGAATCCGCTGCAAACCAGTGTCGCTTCTATTCCAGTCCCAAACAGGTCGTGTTTAGGACTGATAGTTCCAATCGCTTCCATTCAACGCGAGCGAACCCCACGCGTGCCGCCAAGGCAAATGATCGAGATCACTGCAACTTGGAGCAAGTTGACACCACAGACCGTGCCGCCAAGCAGAATGGTCGCTGCCATCCATCGTCTAGAATCACGACCCCTGCTCGGCACCGGTCTTTGGAAAGGACTCGGCTGCTGGAGCCAAGAATGTGTGAAAGATCATCAAAGTGTGAACGATTCCCTAGGGATTCACATACCTTCTCGGAAGCCCTCCAAGCCCTCCAAGAACTAGTCTCCAATCACATTCTCAGAAGGTACTTGGATCCCTAGCGATTCAAAAACTGAGGACCCTCAGACTGGGCCTGAACTGTTACTGGAGATTCATGGGTTGGCTTAGCCAACCATTCCAGACCATCGGACTGCCATATTGACCTACATTGGGGTGGTTCCAATGGTCAATGTAGGTAGATATTCCATACATGGATTGGATGGTGTGGGAATAGCTTAAGGGGTCCTTTTGTGATGACCGATGGGTCCCGTATTGCTGGTCGTAGATCCTCCAATGAACATCTTCGATGCCCCACTTAGTCTATAGGGGAGACAGTCAACAACGACCATACAGGTGAACTGTTTCTGTCAGCTGTATGATCGGCATCTACAGTTTTACTTCAAAACATTAATGATAATCCATGTATGGAATATGTGTCATTGGGTGGTGTTAGGATCAATGTAAGTATATAAACATTCCATATATGGAGGTGTTTGTAACAACTTGTGCTATTCTCGTCTCCACCCCCAAAGACTCTGTTGTCCATATCCCCGTGGACAAAACTACGAACACCCAGTTGGGATTTTAGCCAAAAATATCCAAGAGTGTACCAAACAAAACATAAGATTGTCTCGAGATCAGTGGTTTGAGCATCGGATGCCATCCAAACCACCTAGTTAAACAACAAACACATTATAAAGTCTGTGATATGACAACAACAGGTCAAACCGAACAGTAAACAAATAAGTATGTGGTTCGTCCGTGGTTCTGACTCTTTCAACCGCATCCCGGTTGCGTTCCCGGGAAACAGCCAAACGTCCACGGTCTTCCGCTGCCCAAGCAACTCGACCACCTTCTCGACGACTTGCACTTGTGGCACCTGGAAACACCGTGACCGTGACGGACCGTGAGCACGACCGTGACCGACCGACCCTTTTTCGCAGTGCGCCGTATCCCTCTCTGCAGCTCACTGTAGCAGATTCATGGTCGGTGGTGTACAGCATTTCCGATATTTCCAACAACCATTGTGAAACAAACCTTTATTTTAGTCAGGATTTTGGACAACAAAACAGGTCAACCCAACATTGAATTGGTCTTTGGAGGCTAGCCTTAGGGTAGTTTTGCGTGTAATATATATATATATATGTATATGACGACGCCGTGACTGTTTTATGAACCATGGAAACGATCTGCATTAAAGCCAACACCGGTTTCAGGGAATCCTCAACTGAATGCGCCGCATAGTCCGTTATAACTTAGTATACCTTGTATTCCAGTTCATAGGGGGGTCAAACTGTATTTTTCCCGAGAGCGCCTGCGAAGGGTTCTTCGTAAAAAAACATCTGCAGAACTACGTCTCATCTACATCTTCACATCTTCACCTCTGCACATCCACATTCTCACCTAAATCTCTGCTCATCTTCACATCTACATTCACATGCACATCTTCATCTTCACACATCTATATCTCTGCTCATGTTCACATCTGCACATCTACATCTCTGCTCATCTTCACATCCTCACATCTACATCTCACATCTTTACCTCTCATCTACATCTCACATCTTCACCTCTCGCTCTTCTTAACTTTCTCTCTTAAGGCCGGGGGCAGTGCCGCCGGACCGCCACGAAACGCAACCCTCTGCGGAGATCGTGCGTGTCGGCTGCGCGAAATGCAGGCGAGAGTGCGATTGGTCCCGGTCGCGAGCAACCCTCTGCGGAGATCGTGCGCGTCGGATGCGCGAAATGCAGGCGAGAGTGCGATTTGTCCCGGTCGCGGGCAACCCTCTGCGGAGATCGTGCGTGTCGAGGGCGCGAAATGCAGGCGAGAGTGCGATTTGATTTTGTCCGGCGCAACCCTCTGCGGAGATCGTGCGTGTCGGATGCGCGAAATGCAGGCGAGAGCGCGATTTGATTTTGTCCGGCGCAACCCTCTGCGGAGATCGTGCGTGTCGAGGGCGCGGACTGCAGGCAAGAGTGCGATGTGTCCCGATCCGGAGCAACCCTCTGCGGAGATCGTGGGTGTCGACTTTGTAGTACAACTTTAGTGCGCGGAGTATCTGGGGAGCTGGGGGATGAGAACTGGCGACTTTCTAGTGCGACTTTAGTACGCGGAGTATCTGGGGAGCTGGAAGATGAGCGCTGGCGACTTTGTAGTGCAACTTTAGTACGCGGAGCAATCTGTGGAGCTGGAAGCTGAGAACTGGCGACTTTTTAGTACATCTGTAGTACGCGGAGTATCTGGGGGGCTGGAAGATGAGAACTGGCGACTTTGTAGTACAACTTTAGTACGCGGAGCAAGCTGTGGAGCTGGAAGCTGAGAACTGGCGACTTTGTAGTACAACTTGAGTACGCGGAGTATCTGGGGAGCTGGAAGATGAGAACTGGCAACTTTGTAGTACAACTGTTGTACGCGGAGTATCTGGGGAGCTGGAAGATGAGAACTGGTGACTTTGTAGTACAACTTTAGTGCGCGGAGTAAGCTGTGGAGCTGGAAGCTGAGAACTGGCGACTTTGTAGTGCAACTTTAGTACGCAGATGAGTCATCTCTCGCGGCTGAGTCATCTCTTGCGGCTGCTCTGGCGCCCCTGCAGCTGAGTCATGTCTCCGGACCACCCGGCTCTCTTGAGAGGTTGACAAATTTTAGCTACTTTGCTTACTTAGGGGGCCGCTTACTTATAACTTGACTTATAACAACTTATCTATAAGTCCATGTAAGTCCACTTAGGCCTAAGTCCATGTAAGTTCATCAAGTCCGTGTAATCGATCATAAGTTCAACAGCCTTGTTTCTTTAAAAAAACTTGTCACGTATGTTTTTTCTTGTTTTCGATGTTGCAAAGTGTATCAGAGCGGTCAACATACCATCAAATATGCAATGTATATATACTCGTCCATCACGTCTCTCCGCCACGCAGTTTACTGAAAAGGGACACTTGGCTATGTCTATACGCACTCGTTCTCTTGAGCCCGGCTGCATGCCCTCAAATGAATACCACCGAATCTCGACGTTGTGCGTGAGTCCACGAAACACTTACGAGACATCTCACCGTGCTATGTTTAGGGACGTCCCACCTTTACTGCTTTATTGCGAGACACCACGAGACATCGCGGAGACTATACCCCTGTCCGACCCACGAGACATTTACGAGACACTCAATTTCATTACTTTTCTCTCCTCGCGGGCTGTGCTTGACTCCGCTGCTCTTCTCTATAGGCTGTCCTACAGAGGCCCCAGTAGGCCAAGCGCGCTCTCCACGCGGTACGCAGGAGCCAGCAGTAGACCGCAAGCATCCAACGCAAGCGTCATGCTTCCTGTATTCTTCATTTTTCCATGTGTTTTGTGCGCACTTCCAGCAAAACGGTTTCAAACTCTATGGGTTCGCTAAGTATGGCTAACTCCGCTAAGTCCGAACTATAGATTCGCTCATTGCACTTAACCTAACTTAACCCAACTTAAGGTTCAAGCCTTGCAAGTCTACCTTAAGTCAGGACCTAAGTCCACCTAACCAGCCATGAACTTAGATACGTTAGGACCTAACTTATGGACGTTAAGATCTAACTTTCAATAACTTATAACTTGACTTATAAGTAGGCGGCCCCCTAAGTACTCATAACAGACTGCCACAAAAGAGTCATCGTGACGTTAGTATGTGTGTACTTCACCTTCATGACAAACGATGTTCGCTTGGACTACACAGTCGCTGGGAATGATCGTGATGTCGTTTACTCTCAGGTCGCCGTGTTCATGGAAACTTCAGTGTGAAACGTACGTTCTTCAGTTCTGTTTGAACCTCTTCAGCGTCGTACATCTACCTCAGATATATCGCACCTGCACAGCCACAATGTCACTCCTTCACATCCACTCTCTCATTCTCTCTTTCTATATATCTTTTTGACAGTGCTGGACAATTACATGTCTCGCTCCGGCACCTGGAGCAATTGAAGAGTTTGAGCCTGAAGCTGCGTCGAGCGATGACGTCGCCGTTGAGGTTGGATTTTTTCGGACTTGTATAGTGAAATTGAAATTTTCATGGGGTGAATATACTAAAATAATTTTACATAATCAGAACTTCTAAAACAAGTATTTTAATAAAACAAATACTTTACAATATTTGAATAAATACAATTTATTTTTGTACTTTTTTTCGGACTTGTATAGTGAAATTTAAATTTTCATGGGGTGAATATACTAAAGTAATTTTACATAAATCAGAACTTCTCAAAACAATATTTTAATTAAACAAATACTTTACAATATTTGAATAAATACAATTTAAATTACTATCTCCGGCGCGATTTTTTGTACCTTTTATTATGGAAGTTAAAAAATAGTCGTCGTTAAGTAAAGTTAGGTCCTTGAAGGCCGGTGATGTAGGTAAAAGGACGTCAAGGTCATGATAGTGACGTCATGCTGTTAAGTCATGAGGTCGTCATGACGTCAGTCGTCGGTCCTCGTCAGGTAAGGTCATGGTCATGACGGATGTGTCGGCGAAAGTTTGGGATATCTCATCCTGCATCCTCAATCGTCTTCATCAGAGTGTTCGTGTCAATTTCGACCGTTCCCATTCTTTTCAAGAATTGGGTCAGCTCCTCAGGGGTAGCAAATGAGTTACCAGTCGGAGATGGAGAGCCGGCGCCGACAGTCGGAGATGGAGGGCCGGTGCCGACAGTCGGAGATGAAGAGCCGGTGCCGACAGTCGGAGATGGAGGGCCGGTGCCGACAGTCGGAGATATAGGGCCGGTGCCGACAGTCAGAGATGGAAAGCCAGCACCGACAGTAGAAAAGAGACCTCAGACAGAGATTGAGAGACGTCACCGGTAGCACGGGTGGCCATTGGCGCCGCTGGCGCTGGGCTGGATGCCCGACAAACCAGCGACGAAGCGCGATCGAACGCTCGACGCAGCGACGAACGAGCCTGTGATGCCGCTGGTGCTGGGCCGGACGCGGGTGCTGCTGCCAATGGTGGTGGTGGCGGTCTAGAGGGCAGTGCCGCTGGAGCTCTTGGTGCCATCTTCATTGCCTCTGTTGCCGTGGCTGCCCTGACCTTGCAAGTCTCGGGTCATCAGGGGGCGCGTCAAGCGTTCCACGTCATAGTCCTCTTCCGGCTCATATCCTAAGGCAATAGCAGCTCGGAAGACCGTCTAGCAGGCCGTCTAGGCCGTGCAAAGTAGGAAAGCAGGATAATGATGCAGAATGCAAAGCCAGCTGCAACAACAAGTCCCTGCCAGCGAGCATGAATGCCCTGCTCGCGTTGGC